TAGAGTTTAAGCCACTGTGCCTCAGAGATAGTCTCTGTTCCTTGTGAGGAGTAACTGCTTTGGATATTCTTTTGGTACTTCTGAGTATTAAATAAAATTTCCTGGGTAGTTACTGTCTGCCTTCTTGCAAACCAACTGCAGCATCCAGGGATTTTCCTAGTATCCAAAAAAACTACAAGTAGGGGTTTTTTATGTAGAAGACTTGAGAAGCAGTTGAGTTTGTAATGGGCAGAGAGTCTTGGATTGTGAGCAGCCATGACATTCCCTGTTTGGGCAGTAAACCAGGAACAGAGAGCAGAACAAAAGCCATTCTGACATGCCAATGACTTTGACAGAAACAAGCATGTTTTGTAAGGAGGCTTTTCCATGGGGATCCCTCCTCAGGTGTGTGCTCACTGCTCTTTGCTTGCACACCTAGGAAATGCATCCACCTGCTTGGCAGCACTTCAGTGTATATCTAATTTTAAGGCCTGGTCAATTGCCTTATTCAAATTAAAAGGCTGTAAGGATGCTCGACATCAATACTTGCAGTAAAAAAAGAAAAAGTTTGTAGTAGCTGTTGTGGTTCCTGTAACACATTTAGTCAAGTTCTGACATTCACTGAAAATGTTGGTGTAGATTTTATTTTGTAAGAACTTCAATTTAAAGGGAATGTTTAGATAATTTATAATGGGTTTTTAAATTATTATTGGAGATAATATTATTACTATTTTCTCTAGCTTGTGAGCCCACACCAAAGAGGCTACAGAACAACATGGAAAGCCTGCAACACTTGGTGGAATCATCACAGATAAAAAAGCAAGGTGCCAGTATTTACCAAAAATATTCCTGTTTTATTGAAAAAACACACATTCTCCAGAAACTGTTCTTGGTACCTGCCGGAGCACTACCTGTGCTTTTACTAGCACACGCTAGTTTTACCAGCAGTACCCACTTGTGCTTATCCAGCTCCTGGGAGAGTAATTAGATTAACTCCACAATGCCCCTTAACTCTAATGAGCTTCAGGATCCTTAACATATCAAACATGGCAGCTGCTCAGGGGTGTCCTCGTGTGCTGTCATGGCCAATTACAGGAAATTTTTGACAAGCTGATGATGCCTTCATGGAAACTGCAAGATTTTCAAAACTTAGTTGCATGAGCTCCTGCCATGGCAGGATGCCAAATGAGACGGGGCTCATTTTCTCTGCACTTTTTCTTATTGCGTATTCCAGTCTCTTCCCCTTTTCTCCTTCAAGTCTCATTGCACAGATTTGGGAAATTATTATTTCCCCTCATCACATAGTGCATTTGTTTCAGGGACATACAAGTGACCTGATGTAGGTAAAACTACTCAAGTTATTTATATAAATAAGTCAGAGATAAGTGTTCTCATTTCTGTTCTTTGCCATCCATTAATATCCTCAGTGATTTTTCTATATTCTCATCAAGAATTGCAAACTGCAGCTGCATTTTAAGGGCTTTGTAGGTACAGCATAACTTGCTATGGTTTGTGAAGCTTCAGCTGGCTGCACCTGAGACCTCAGCCTTTGGAACATAAGGTGGTGCTCAGCTAATCTGTTCTTCTGCTATTTTCAGCCATGTCTCCATGATCAGAACTCAGGAGGCAAAGACAAAGAAATTCAAGGAAAAGGAGAGAAAGCTGTCCAAGTGAAGGCACTGTATGCATTAGTGATCACTTTCATGTAGGTACATTGTGTTTAAAATAAGTTGGTTTTAAATATTAATGATAAAAGCCCTTACAATTTTTAAATTCATGTTTATAGCTCTTATTTTAAATTAGCAGGAAGTACAGAGTAGAAAGGCACCTTAAGGATTATATCCTTCCAGCCCCGTGCCACGGGCAGGGACACCTTCCACTATCCCAGGTTGCTCTAAGTCCCATCCAAACCAGACTTGGACATTTCCACGGATGGAGCAGCCACAGTTTCTCTGGGCACCCTGTGCCAGGGCCTCATCACCCTCACAGGGAAGAATTTCTCCCTATGTCTAAGCTAAATTCTTCCTGTTGAAGCTTGAATTTCATACTCTACCATGATTCATTTGAGGAGAATGGACTCATCAAACTTCAGCTGGAGTCTTGTTGGGGAGGAGAAACTGCTGAGCTGTTCTTAAGCTGTCCTCAGTTATTGGCAGTATTTCAATTGGAGGAATTTTTTTTTTTTTTTGTTTTCCTAATAATTTTTGCACTCTGATACTTTTTGCAACAGAGTTGCAAGCTCAGTCAAAATATTAGTAAACACATCTCCCCTTTCCTAGAAATCAGTTGCATTGAAAATGAAAGGATTGGTTTAGATGGCACATGTATCACAGTTTGGACTTGCCACACACATTGGATAAATCTTCCAAAATTTTCTTAAGGGGACGGTCAGGTGCAGAGAATAAGAACCCTTGAAAAAAGTCACTGCTAAGTGCACTCCCAGTTGTGTTCAAGGAGCCAAGCTAAAAAGAGTTTCAGAAGCTGCAGCTGTGTGCCAAGGGCAGGGAGCAGGTGGATGGGTCAGAGAGCCAGAGAGAAGGGAGGGACATCTCTCAGTGCAAAACAGCAGCTTAACATCCTTTTGCTGGCAGATTTTGGGACAGGTCTGGTCTTCCCCCCTGCCACCAGCAGCAGGCAAGGAACAGGCTGGTAGACACATGAACCTTAGAGCAGCTGAGTACACACAGCCCCAGCAGCACTTGTTATTCCATGTCCTGCAGGTGGATGGCACAGCAGGACTGCTGGGCCAAGCCTGCCCACAGCAAGGACACCACAGATGGCAACCAGCCCCTGGGAGAGAAAAACCTAACAGCAGGCTTATACACTCCAAAGGGTGAGTTCAACTCCCTGAGACAATGTGGGATGGGCATGGGTTTTGCAAAGCAAAAATAGCTGCAGTGAAGGTTTTTGCAGGAGACTTTAGAATGGTTCATGCCCACTCCTCTCAGGCTGCTTGCACTGTTCACCATCCAGCTGCAGCATTCAGTGTTTGTGCACCAAACTATGTGACAAAAAGGAACAGTTTGTGTTTCACATAAAAGTAATCAAGTTGTCTAATCTGACAGAAGTTGGCTGTCAGGGGTATGAGCAGATCAACTTTAAAAGTAGCTCTGTGGTTGCAGGCTTTGCCAAGCTGCGAGTGAGAGTTTGTTTGCTTGAAGATGTCCTGAGCCACTGGCTGTTAGATCCACAGAGGAATGTCAACAATAAGTTGTTTCTCACGTGTAGCTGCACTGGTCTCACTGCCAGGACATTGCATTAGACAGCTATCAGCCATTCCAGCAGCATCTTTTTTATGCAGCAAGGCAACTTTGTTTAAATCTGCTTTCACCTTTGAGGAAATAGATTGTTCAATAATGAGAAAACATCTGTGAACTTGGAGAAAATACTAATAGGTTCCTCCAGAAAAACTGAAATCCAGGTTTATTTCTTTCACCATGCCTGAACCATTTAATTTACATGGCATCGGTCCTGCTGGGAATGGCATAATAATTTAGAGGCTTTTGTAGCAAAAGCTTAGTACAGATCTTTATAGAAACCCTAGCTGATCCTTCAGCAAGGTGATACAATCACGAGGACTGTGAGTTGTCTGTGGGATCAAAGGGCTGGGTGCTTAATTAAAAAATAAATTGTTCTCAATCTGAAAGACTTCTCAGGGTTGGTCTGTTTGACATGCTCACCATTGCATTAGAGAACCTATTCTAGCATAGGTTAAGTAGCTTGCTAGTGAATAACTTAATCTAATAGCACAGTTAATCTCATCAGACAAGCCTCAGGCGTGTGCATAAATACGCTCAGGCGGCAGCTTTGACTTCAGGGATTTCTAAAGATCACCTTCTATTGCTGCTGAATATTACCTATAGTATCCACTTCAATTGGTTAGAAAAGCCAAGTGCTAAGAATGCAGCTGAGGTTGTTCTACTGGACAAAAATCAAAATCCCAACTTGCCTGTGCACTTGTTCTTGGCCTAAGTCTATCTCCCTCCTCGCGCTCCCCCTCATACCCTCCCAGGAGTTCCTTGAGCTATTTTGTGGCCAGGTCTGCAGGAGCAGGCAGCCCAACCCACTCTCCTCGAACAGCTGGATTCCAAGTCCCAGTAAGAACAAGGCCAACACTTGTTCTTCCCAGCAGCTCTAGCACTGTCCCACCAGCTGGATGCCCAGTGACCTACCAGATGCAGGAGGTCAGCTCTGAAGTTCATCTTCCAGTCTTTCACCAAATCCATTCAATTTCACACATCCAGGCTGCTCTACCACACAGAGCAGGAAGGAATTAGCAGAGGCATTTAGTGATGTGCTTTTTGAAGTACTTCTTCCAAACCAAAGTTGTAATTTGTATACTTGCAGATCTACAAAACTCTGCTCTTCCAGACCAAGCTCACTCAAGGGAAGGGCTGTTTGCAGGCTTGTTCTTGCAATGCTTGGTTCAGCATTATGGAAAGAGGAGCTTGCTCAAGTGGCAGCATGTATTTGTACCCAAAAATACAAAAGGCAGAGAAGCAGGGCAGCTTTATGCTTCTAGCATATAAAGATACCAACTAGCTGAAGCTGAAAGTATTCTACTTCATCTAGCTTACTAGAAGGCCACAACTTAAATTCAAGGTGAAAAGCTTAGTCTTAAAAAAATATTTAGAAGTTTAAGCCAAGTATTTGCTAACAATACTGTGGTGTTGTTCATCAGTATGCCACCCCACTCTGTTCCAGCCCAAACCCTATTCCCTGGCCATCTCAGTATTCCAGGTTTTTTTAAAGCCTGCTCCCACCCTGACAAAGTAATTCATTAAGCCTTTGTGACCTTTGCTCTCCCCTCAGCAGGAGTGCAGCTGCCTGCCAAGCCTTTCATTTGAGCCGAGATGATTGCTGGACAGTAGGGGGTAGAGAATGAACTATTTTGGGGTTCAACCTTTTGTTACTCCAAGAGGAAGGGCCACTTCTCAGCACTTCCTTAGCACTAAGACTTCAGGTCAAGTGGCTCACTTGGATCAAAGTTACCAAAATGAGTGAGGTCACTGGTCAACTGATAATGAACTGTCAATCTGAAAATGTTTATTGTTTCCTTAATACATTACATAGATTAAAACACTTAAGTTCCTGTTACAGTGCTGGTAACCACACCTCCCAGTACGCTTCCCAAGCCCAAGATGCATCCCACAGCCCCACTCAAAGCAACACTAACTCAAGTCCAGGGTCCAGATCCACCTGGACAGGCAGGTGCTTGGAATGCTGCTCGTGCCTTCTTAGCCTACCTTGTGTCTCTTCAGCACGCACTCAAAGTTGATTTTACAGGTTGCCAAAAGATTTCCTAAAGACATCTGCTGCTTAGGTGGCTCAATATGGGATTTCCAGAACTCTGCACTCGAGAGGGTCTCCTAGAGAAGAAGGGGAGCCCCGCTAAGGTTTAGGGGCTCCGTGGTTCACCTAGGCAGGTCTGCCATTAGATCAGCAGCTTCCACCTTCCCGTTAATGGTACCCCCACCACTGATGAACAATTTGATCTTCGTGTTCAGTCACTAGGGTCCTGTTACCGCATTCTTCCCAGCGTCTGACCTTGCCATTCTCCACCAAGATAAATTTCCATTCCACTCTGGTGTCCACGGGCAGGCTGATGGATTCGGACCAGAAGCCATCCTTGTCGCGCCTGAGGGGGACGTAGCTGTGCCACTGGCCCAGGCACTCGTGGTCCCCGGTGACACCGATGAGCTGTGCCTCGGAGTGGGTGACGTAGTGCACACGGAAAGCCACGTGGATGTTCTGGAACATCGGCGGCACGGCTGCAACTCGCTTTGCTTTCCAGTCCCCGTCACAGCAGTCTCCTGGTTCCCATTCCTTGCTGTCTGAGTCTTCCATGCTGCCATCCTTCCCTTCGACCAGGTGCTCAGAAACAACTTCCCACTCTTCATGGTCCAAGTCCCTCCTCTCAGCTGGCTGACACGGCTGCTCCTCGCTCCTGTCCTTACACTCATCGTCAGAGGCCCCTGCCAAGTTCATCACGCACCATCCGCCACTTGCCTGTCCCACCTGGGCTTCCAGCTCGCCTGCCTGGCTGCCGGCCACATCAGCTGGATGCTCCCCCGGCTCCGTGACACCGCGCTTCGGGATCAGCCGCTCCAGCTCCACAGGCTCGCCCAAAACATGGTTGAGCTCCTCCCTTGAAGCAGCCGCCAGATCCCCTCCCGGATTCGAAGAGCCGGACGGGGCAGCAGCAGACCCCTCCCCGCCCGCCGCAGCATCCCCTGCAAGTGACATTGAGGGAGAACGGGTTAAGCGCAGCGCCGGCAAACCCGAGTCCTCGCAGGCTCGGGCAGCCCGGGACACCCCTGCTCGGTGACACAGGGGAAGCATCGCCTCCCCACATCCCGGTACCTGCGCTCCCCGCGCTCACCCGCCGGGGCCCCTCTCTGCCGGCCGCCGCCGCCTCGTCTCGCCCGTCGCTGTCGCCGTACCAGAACCAGGCGACGATGGCGGCCAGCAGCCCCACGAGCAGCGCCGGCCAGAGCCCCGCGCCCAGCCAGCCCCAGGCGCGGGGCGGCGCGGGCCCAGTAAGAATGGCCGGGCGCTGCAGCGGCGGGACCGCCGGGGCCGCCCCCCGGCGCCGCTTTAAGCCGGGCTCCGTGGCCGGGGAGGAGCCGCTTCAAGGCGGGCGGGGCCGGGCTGAGCCGCGCCGCGGGGGCGGGGGAAGGCGTGAGCTCCCAAAGGCAGAACGGAGAAAGTTTCCCACTCTTGGCGCGCCTACACCCGTTCTCTGTCTTCTCTCAAAATTAACAGGCTTGCACTGGACCCGTGGAGCCTCCCTGTCAGGGCAGAGTCACGCAGGGCAGGTTTAATTCTAGCTACTGCTGGTGGGCTTAGATGCTCCTGCAGGGGTGTGCTGAGGGGGACTGATTTGCTGCTAATTTTACTGCTTGTGCTGGTGACAACCCTGTCCTGCTCTGGTATCTTTGAGAAGTGAGATGAATTCACTACTGATTTTGTAACCTCTTCGTCATACTCTAATAGCTACAAGTGGATTCCCTAACATTCCTGGGTTCTGTATTATGCTCAGGAAGCTTTTTCGATTATCAGGAGCTCAGAGTCCATTACTGCAGAGGATATTTGGTGTTTACTTAAGTTTACCTTCATTTTACTATTCTTGAAGTGATGATGTCAAACCTCATCTCAGAATTGAGAGGTTGTACAGATAAATCTTAGTAGAAACCCGATAAATTTAGCAAATGCACCTTGGAGTTTGTATTTTGAATCGGCAGTTCTGGAGTGGCAAATTGTGAAAATGTTTATAACACCAAAGATTAACAGCAGGGAAAGAGTGAGGGGAGGCCGTTCCACTCAGTTCTTTTTGCTGCCTTTTTAAAATCCCTTCCCTTTATCTGACCAAAGGTATGGTCATGACTGGCTCTCTAAAACCCATTGATGAGCTTTTGCCCATATCTCATTAGACAAGAGAATGGCTAAGTGGATGTCCCAGTAAGTCTATTTCCATGGGTGAACTTCGTAATCTTTCAGTGTCAGTTCGAGCAGCGCTCCCTCAGCTTGACGGGACAGTAAATGTCAATCGAATTTATAGAAGCACAAGTGTGCAGCCTCCGTGGGGCAGCTCCCTGCCTGGCATGGAGGAGGGTGGCTCTGCAGAGACACAGAATTCATGATCTAAATATCTTCCCTTTCTTTGCTTACCACAGTAGCTGAGGAACCGTCTCCTCCAGCAAAGTGCTGAGCTGGTGCTTAAGTCAAAATATCTATTTTGGTCCTGGGCTGTGTCCTGGCATGGGCTGAAAGTGCACTGCTCACATCTCCTGCTCGGTGACACAGGGGAAGGAAAGAGCTGTGCAGCCAGGACGTGCCTGGGCACTTTCCCAGTAACGGAGGGCTTGGGTGCATTCTCTTTTACCACTGCTGGTGCTCCAAGGTGCTTCTCAGGCTTGGTGCTGAGAACAAACCCTTGGCTGTAATGGGCTGTGCTAACTACTGAAACTTTTTAGAGTAGGTGATATTGCTGTTCACTTACATTCCTTTCTTTCCTAGCCTTCAAAACAGCCAGTTCCCTGCTCTGTGTCTGTGCACCACCTTGCTGAGCTGGGATGGCCAGTTTGTGCACCTACACGCTGCTGTTCTGTAAGTAGTGTGTGCATGGCAATTTAGGCTTCCCTGTCACCTCCCTGCAGCAGAGCAGCCACAACCCATTAATTATTGTAGCATTACACTACGAGGGTATCCCCCTGCCAGCCCTCAGCACAGATGGAAAGATAGAGTTTGGAGCTGCTAACCTCACATTTCTTTCCCTAAGCACATTTGATAAATCAGCATAGGAAGGAAAAGACATCAAGCAAACACAGCCTAGGAGAGATGACTGCAGGAATCCTCAAGGAAAAGTTTATTTTGAAGATACAGAAATGCACAGGATGAAAGGCAGGGTGCTGCTTTAATGAGCAGAGGTCTCCTCTGTTCATCTCCATGCACATTCAGGCCTCTTCTGGTGCCAGACTTTTTCACCCAGAAGAAACTAAAGCAAAGCACCCAAATTACCATGATCATAATTGTTGATATCACCAGTGGATTTGCATAATTACAAAAAGAGGGTCACCAAGCTAGTGACACAGAGACAAGCTTGCTGAGAGCCAGGCAGGGAAGGACTCTTCAACAACCCCCACTGCCAGCTCGGTCCTGCATGGCCCCCAGAGGACCTTTACCTTTGGGTTTATGTGGGTGTAATGGGTTTTACTCGTGCCTGTAACAGTGATTGTCTCAGCAGGCAGCAGCTGAGTCGTTTGCTCTGCAACTCCTCTCAGGGTGCCTGGGATTCATTTGCTGTCTGCTGATTTTTTTAAAACAAGGGTCTTGGTGAATCCTAAGGGTGAAACTCCTTGATTGCTGATCACTTAGGGAGGATTAGCAGCACAGATGCTGGACAGGAGAGAACTGAGAAGGGTCACTGAGGGCTGAGGTTCCTCCTCTGAGGCAAATGCACGGACCATTGCAGATAGTAACTTATCCCTTTGAAGGCTTCGGCCCCCCTCTCCTCTAGGAATTCTTCAAGTGCTTATATCCTGTACAACTTGGAGACTTCTGTCTCCTTAGAGGATTTCCAAAGCAGATAAACAGAAATGCTCCAAAATGCAACTGAGATTTTTTTTTTTAAAGCTTTCATCAGAATCAAACATGGTGTCTGTACAACAGAGGGACAAGGAAACAAATTCTCAAAGTCTCATGGCCATGATTCTAGTTCAAATTAATTCAAGACTTCAGTTTGTCCCTGCAGTCATTCCTGATGTAGCTGTACTTTAGAAAGCAGTGCTCTGTGAACGAGGTTCTGTTGCACCATTTGCTCAGCAAGAAGGAGAGCCTTGGAAAAGCAGGAGAGTATTTGGAAAAGCCACACGTGACTTTGTGGAATTCCCAGCTGGCTGGCCTGAGATCAGGAGCCTCAAGCCTGAGCCTTCCCACATTTCAGAACCGAAACAGGAGTGCAGGTATTTGCTCTCCCAGCCCTGGAGCAAGGCAGCAGCCAGAGGTGTTGTTGGGAAGGGCAGTGTCTCACAGGAGCTCTGTTCCTCTGTCAGCTGTGCCACCTAGTGTGGTGACAGGGGATCTCCAGACCCGTGTACTCCTGTCCCACTATCCTGGCTCTGACAGAGGATTTGTCATTTGTCACAGGATATTTGGGGAGCTCGTGTGAGGCTGGCCACCATCTGATCCCGGGGAGAGAATGCTCCTAAAGCCTTGTGTGTGCGCGGTGCTTCCTCCAGTTCTGCAACAGCACAAAATGGAAAGGTGAGTCAGTAAATAAGGAATTCAAATCTGGGAGCTCTGTTACTCCCTGTGGCTGTGCTGTGGGCTCATCTGGAAGTGCCACAGGCAGCTCTATTGCTGGAACAAATGCCAAGTGCCTGTGCTGCAGCAGTGTGCTTTGGGAGTTACCCCTATGTTCAGCACTGCTGATTATTTCAGTGTGAAGAATCCCTCTTCTAGTTTAACTGGAAACAGTCAGGTGTTAAAAGGAGCAATGGCACATCTCCTTTTCCCATCTTAACCATAACCCCCAGAGCTTAGGCTGAATTAGCCTCCCTGGGAGCCAGGTTAAAATCTAAAAGTCAAGAGTGATGCCAGGGAGGTTTTCTGGGCTTTTGATACTTCCTGTGTTGGATCCCCACCCAAGCAGGTAGAAAAATTGAAAGGTCAAAGTATTCATGTCCTTTGGAGGAAACCATGACCCTGACTGGCATTCTAGCCCTCTCCCATATAATTTGGAGTATCCCAGCTGTGAACACTGGACACTCTTGTGCAGCGTTGCGCTGCAGTCAGCAGGTGGCAGAGGAGGAGTATGGCTGGCAGGAAAAGCTCTTCCCTCCCAAACAGAGAGGAGATGAACTCTCAATTGCTATGAACTTCTTGAGAAGTGGTTGGTTAGTAATGAGGACACCCCAGCTCCAGGTTTGCTTTCCATTATGAGCCATGAAAATCTGGAAGGCAGCTGAAAGGGACCTCAGGAGTCCACTTTAGGCCTGGTGTCATTCTTCTTTAAGAACAGTGACCCAGCCTGGCCAGAGATGTCACCCCCAAAAATCTTACCCAGGCTGAGAAGCACAGAGCACACAGGTTTAACATCTGTTTTTAAGGACATGGGTTGTGATCTTCAGTTTGTTCTGCTGTTTTTCCTTGTTAGAATGTGTTTCATCCTCGCTTAGCTGACTCAAAACATCTAAGAGGTCTAAAACCATTCTTTCCTACTTACCCATAGTAATCTGCCTTGGAATTCCTTCTTGGGTTTGAGGTACAGTTTATTGCTTGCCCTGCCAGTCTCTTGCTGCATTTTCTGTGCTTTCTCTGGATTTCTGTGCTGTGACAGTAGTGTCAATGACAGCTTTCCTTACATCCCTTTTCCTTCTAGGTTTGTTCCCCGTGAGCCATTATTTGCCAGCTTTTTCAGCTCATTAGTCAGTCTGTGGAAGTCTCACTTTCTATTTTGCTGTTCTTCATTCTCCATTTCCCCAGCTGGTGCAGCTGCATTCCAGGTGCCCTTTCATGGTTGGTGCCTGTTGCTTTTTACCTCCTCCCAGGCATAAACCAAAGTATAATGTATTTTGGCTAAATTGTCTCAAGCTCATCTCAGACTTCACTGAAGTTCTACTACTCAGCAGCTCTTAGAAATTCAATCATAAATGAGATTTCCCAGCAAAATCCTGCTGACAGCCTCTCATGGTTGTCTCACATCCTGGAGATGACATGCTTTGACTTCCATGCGGGTTCTTTACATTGTCAGGCCCATAGGAAATGCAACATGAAAGACAGGTGAAGTGTGGTATTATTTTACATTCTTTCTTTGACTTAGGCCAGACCTTTTTAGAAATTCTGAATATGGGTGTTGATGCCCCCATATTTTAGATGCTACTTTCCTGCAAGCTGCAAAAAAGCGGTATTGTTTTATAAATCACATTATTTAATTCAAAATGGGGGTGGTTTTTTGTCGTTCTCTGTGATGCCTGGCTGCTTACCATGTGGGCTTTCTTGAGAAAAGACTCTACCAAATGGTTTGTAAGCTCTGATGGTAGGGCTTGTCTTCGTGGCCTGAATAAGTTTGATTACAGGTCTGGCATCACAGAGTTGCAGTGAGGTGCCTTCACTGGTGGTTCATATTTTTCCTCCCTGGAATAAAAAGCCAGGTGTATAATATCAGGCTGCAGCAGGGATTTTCAGTGTGCCCTGAAGTGCAGTTCTGCTGCCATCAAATCTCTGTCCCCACAAGTTCCCCTTTGCTGGGTTCAGTGTGTGAGGGGGGTGTCACTGGTCACTGAGTCATGTGCTGCCTGGGTCTGGTGACAGGGGAAAGCAAGAAGTCCTTTCCCACACAGCCTTGTCAGAGGGCAGGGCGTGCCCTGAGCCAGCACCTGATGCAGTGGCTCCATCCCGGGGCTCAGGTCACATGCTAGAACCATGGCGGGGACATATTGTCGCTTCCCCAAAGTGCTCCCTTTGGTGCCAAGGGACACAGCTGACCCACACAAGGTATTGCAGACTGTGCTGAAGCCTAGTGGCTCCCATCCTGGGGCCCAGCTCTGCTTTTGGCCTATATTTATTTATTGAGGCTGGCAGGCACCCAAGTGCAACAGGGCACTGGGCTGAAGCCT